ACCATGAGTCTCAGGGCTGGATCGGGTCATTTCCCATCAATCAGTTTTCTTATTCGTGAAAGCCAACTGGCGCTTCACCACATTACTTTGCTGCCCGGAGCGCATTGTTGGGGGGAAGCAGCAGTTATTCATTGGCAGCGATAAAAAAAATCGATTTGGGCGATTGTTTACGGCGAGTGATTGACAACCTAAGCGAGGAAGAGATCAGATTACTGAGTTGCAGCCCTAGTGACATCGGCACGCACAGCCTACGAAAAGGCTGCAGTTCCTATACCCTTAGACAAGTGAATGGACCCACCCAGTGTCTGTGTATCTTCGTATGGGTCAAAGTCTGGGGAAGCTTAAAGACCGCTACATCCATTTTGGCGAAGGAGCAGATCAATTGTGTGGAAGAATGATTTTAGGACTGCCGTTTAATTCCAAGCGCTTCGGGGTGCTCCCTCCTCATTTTTCGACAGCGACAATTTGCGAAATGACATTTTTGTGCTGGGAAGTGGGTTCAACAATTATCCCCGTGGTGTAAGAGCAGCATTTCCGTTTACTTTGTCGTCAGTTATTCATCATGAGCAATATCTGCGAGCTGCACTTAGTCCTGCGCATCCAATATTTAAAGCGAGAGTTTTTTCAGCGAATCCACCACTAAGCAAGCACCGCGGGTCAATAAATCTGGTAATTAAGTCTTCACCAGAGTGTGGGATGAAGGCAACTGGTATATCAGCCCATCTAGCCATTGCCACGGAGGTGAAAGACCTCCGTCAAGAGTTATTTAATCTCAATAAAGAGGTTAACCAGCTCAAAACAGAGATCACGACGTCTCTTCCTGACCCGGTGTCTTCAAAAGTGGTTTCCGAGCTTCGACAGCACTTTGTCGTAGGTGGAGTGGCTCCTGTGTCGCTTCGAGATCTTGCTAGTCTTTGTGTGGACTTGTCAGATGAAATTCGAAAAGCTATTAATTCTATACGTTCTCCCTGCGATAGCGGAATCATTGCGCCAGCGAAGCCAGCAAGTACGCCCTGGCGAACATGGCAGTGGAATGATGGTCAATTGGGTCATGCTGTACCAAAAGACTGGGAGTTTCCAGCCCGTACTAGTTAGTGTAAAGCAAATGTGGAATCTGTGGGGTTTTTTGGCGGTTTTGACGCTGGGATCCGACCGTACAAACTACTGAGTAAGCAGTACGATATCAAGCCAATGCATGAAATGCGTCACTCTCGTGTGAGCAAAGTGATGCAGTACATGGCACACCTCCTCAACGAAGCTGATGTCATGCCAGAAGGCGTTTCCAGCGTTTCTGCGCTGGAACTTCCAGCGGCAGATAAAGTATTCGATACCGTCTTCAAAACGATGCTTTCTCAATTGTATCCTAACACACCAAAGAGAGCAGAAGAACTCACTTGTGGGACAATCTACAACCGTTTGTGCAAATACTTGCAGACTACATCAACATGAGCACTACCAGTAGTATGTAGATCGATTAACCAATATTCTGATAATCAACTTCATTGACCAATCACCTTTCGTGATAAAATGTGATCTGATTCCTATCACAGACGCAGTCATTATATACATTTAATGTACAGAGTGATTCTGTTTCGAACCAATAAAGGGTAAGTCCGTCCGACTGAGCTGTTGCAATGTTTCAAACACTGTATCCAGAACGCCACAAAACTGTTGTACGTGCCATCTACGAGTTTCTTATCAGCCAAGAAATCAGCCTTTGCAGCGGCGCAAAATGTGTTATTGTGTCCAGCCTGCAACAAGTAGACAAAGTTTATGCTCCGAAACGAACGCGCAGAGTTCGTATCTTTGATACCTAGTGTGGCAGCGTTGATGGTAGTTGAATAGTTCACGTTCGTTGTTCGCTTTCGTTTGTCGTTCGTATTTATCTATCTTCCACAACATCTACAAGCCACTGGAATGGCTTTAGAGGAGTCAGGGTTCCGTTCGGCGACTTCAAGACCGTACTGTTAACGTCCTGTCCTGGCTGAAGTTCTTGGCACCTTGAGAAGAGCACATATTCTCTTGTGGGGGGC